GGGGGGGGGGGGGAGAAGGAGAGAGAGGAACGGGGCAGAAGAACGGGTACAACGACGAGAAGACGAGGAGAAAGATCTCGTGTTAAAAAACGCGGACGAGGCAGAGGTTAAGGAGAGCCGCACGCGTCCGAAATCTCAAGCAGGTCGTCCTCGTCCACCTAACGGTTACCTTCGTTTGTAGCTGTCTAACTTGCGTCCTCCCTCCGTCGCCCCTCTGAACCGGCCGACGGAGCAATTCCCGAAGGTACCCGCGACCCCTTCGTGCGTTTTAACCCCGCGCCCTCCGACTCACCACGAGCGGAGCTCTTCTTTATTTTCGGCTGCTCCCTGGCTCGATGCCCGATGCGATTTTTACGGGACACCCCGATGAGCGCGCGCGATAAGTGGTGGTAGGGTGGCCCCGGCATTCGTTCATTACCATTCATTACATTAGTGTACGCGATGCGTGAGGTCGGATTAGGGTTAAAGGGTTCTGTCGGGTCAAAGCTCGCTCGCGGTCACTCGATGGCTCTCGCGGTGTAATTACGCATTTGCACAAATTACAAAGTTTAATCAGAAACTCAATTAACGAAATATTCACTGTGGGGAAATTGAGAAAAAAAAGCACCCTTCGCGTGACTTTCCCGACTGTGTAACATTGTTTCCGGGCACCGGCCGTGTTTTTCTCACTCGCAAGAAGAGCGCGACAGATCTAGGATGCACCGCGTATATTCGATAAGGCCGCACGGCGAAGCGGTAAAGCCGGAACGAAGTTTCCGCCTAAACTCGCTCGAAAAATAAGGGAAACTGCCTGGCTGCAGTTGGAGTACCGACACGTGCCACTGAATCGAAGATAAGCATTAGGGTCGACCTACTCGACATCTTATGCTGCGCACATGAAGGAGGAGGAAGGGGAGGAACGAGAAGTCCGATTCGCGTCACGAGTCCAGAACTTGAAAGTGCCATCCGCGATCCCGTTTTCCGCTCCCCCCGGTGTGTCGCCGACCGATCGGTCGTCGCGGCAATCCTCTCTCGCGCAGCTTCGCATGCGAGCGAACTTATCGGGAATAATAAATTCCGCGATGAGACGGGGATCAGGACGGAATCCTGGGCGATCCGGTACGATCGGCCTACCCGGCCCGGAAACAGTTTAAAGCCGACGTGGAAAACTCCGCGGAAAGAAGCGGGCATAATGCGTCGCGGCGCAGAGAAGCGAGGGAGAGGCACGTCGCCAACCGGGCGAACGGAAGAGACAGGGAGAGAATGAGAAGGGGAGGAAACGGGGCGAGGGGGGGGGAGGCAGAGAAGAAATTACATCGTTTGAATACACGCTCCATATCGCCGGGGACTTTTAGTGAACTGCGATACGGAGAGAGGGCTGCTAGTGACTAGCGTTATCCAGCGAGGAGGGTGCGAGCACCGACGACGTCGCGTGCGCGCGAGCGCGAGGCAGATGGCGGAAGTGCGAAGGACGAGGAAGGATGCAGGGGGTGAAGGGCAAGCCCGCTTGCTGCTGCTCGTGCCTAGGTGTGTATATCTTGGCCGAGACATGAAAAATGCATCTAACGGCCCTCGAGGCACTTCGCCATTCAAGTCCACGGCTATCCTCCTGCCAACCTGCCACCACTTTTCAGATCAAAAGTTACCTGCTCGCGTAACTTTCCCATGCGCGCCGTCTACTAGCACCACCGCCGCCGCCGCCGCCGCCGCCGCCACCACCACCACCACCGTCATCAGCATCGCCATTCCCGTTCTCTCTCTCTATCTCTCTCGATCCTCTCCAACCCTGCTTTGCCACCCTGCCACGTCCAGGGAAAGCCTCTGCCTACCATTCGCTTAACAAAGCACGCGAAACTCTATTACACGCCGGTGCATCCCCGGCTTATGTATTTACCCGATGCGACGTTAGGTACGCACCTACATGGGCGTGAAACGTTCTCCGCGTTCGACGTGTCGTAACGCCTACCGACGGTCGCGTGGATTACTTTCGCGGTTTTAACCGGACGTCCGTGTCGGTTGTCGAACCGAATTCCGTCGCGGGCGAGTTAACCGCGTCGTTAGTGTGTCTCGTACGTAAGAGCGACACAGACAAATCGCGTGCCTCCCCCTCTCACGACTCCGAAACGATAATCTTTTTTTAACTTGCTTAAACTCGCAACAGAACGGTTGACGATCGAGAGGAGATGGTTGACAACTTGTAGCAATTTTTAAGAGGAAAAGCGGATTTCTCTTGTATAAAACTATCACTGTGTGATATATGATTTATTTTCTCTCGATGCTAGATCGCGAACGATACGTGCTAAATATAGAATCGCCAGCGAAACGCCCTTATCAACGAGATAACGAGTGTAACTCGCGTGGAAGTGCGTGATTAAGCGAATTATGCGTCACGAGAGTTTCGAAAGTGATTAATTTACCTTCTGCCCAGTCACCGTGAAAGCCGCCCGGCTTTCGAGGGAATTAATCCTCGAGGAAAATGTATGTACACGGCGCGTTTGTGCTTACCTATAACAGAGAAAAAGAAGAAACATAAGCATAAACAGAGAAACTTGACGAGTCCGCGGAAATATAGTTGCGCTTAAACGTCCGTAGGATTGCGCGTATGCAAAATGAGCGGCGTATCTGAGACTTGAAGCGGCGTTAACCCGCGAATTTCCGCGGAATGCAAATTGACGGCATCCACACACACACATACATTACACAGAGACACAACCGAGTCATCTCTCTCTCGTATCACGCCCTCTTTTTTCCCCTTTCTTTGCACTGGCGCGCGCGAATGCTCCCGGCCGCTAATTTGTTAGAAGAGAGGCGGCTTTTAGACCACCATCCGTTATTAAAGCGCGCCTATTACGCTAATGACACCTGTCGTACATATTATATAATTAGCGCGATACGTTTGTTATTGCCGGTACACACAAGCGGCCGGAACGAAACCGTTCGCTATCATGCGCTATTATTTGCGATCTCTTGTTTACCGTGTATTTAACCAATTATTCGTCCGAGACCCGCGGGCGTAAAAGATCGCAATTCCCACTTCGCCGACACGCGCTCGACGAAACCGAGTCGAGAGATAACGCTTCGATGATACTTGTCGCTCTCAGTGTTGCTTTCGCTTCTTTTTGCAAAAAGAAACATTTAATGAACTTGCGGGGAATCTCTTTTCCGCTGGAAGAGAAACGAGAAGACAATTTCCGCTTCGCCCACTTGTACTCGGCTCGGAACTTTTATCTCAAATTACAAGTTCATATATTGGAAATTGTCGATCGCGTATCTGATCGAGTTTAACGCGCTCGAGGATGCGAGCAACGCGATGACGTGCTGGACAACGAGAAAAGAAAAAAGATCCGCGATAGATTCTCTTCAGCCTCCACCTCGTGAAGATAGGGTCAAGAAGTGGCCGGATGACATCTCGAAAATTAAGGCGCATGAGTTACGAGTCGCGAATTGTGTCGCGCGCGCACGCCGCGATATAAGTCTCTCCTGAAAAATCCGATAAACGGCGGCCCGTGAAACGCGACCGGTGAAATTTGGCGCGGCGACCCCATTCAAATTTTTCGAGCCGGCGACTAATTCGAGAACGTCATAGATACACGCGCATGTATCACACAGGCGGCCCGGCGGTTACGCATATATCCCTCCGACAATGGGAACCGGGGTCGGTTATCTCGGTTCTTTGTATTCAAATTGCCGCGGAAATACAGCCGGCAGATTATGTGGAATAGGCATTTATCGTGGGATTATGAAGCCCCATATTGTAATAATAATACGATATTACTCGGCGCTTTTAATTACTTTTTCGTACGTTTCCCCGTTAATCGATGACGGAGGATTGCGAGGCGGCGAAACAGAATAATTACCGTTCCGTCGTGCTTCACGGTGCATTTAGGCGCGGCCGTGTAATAATTATACTTAGAACGCGAGAGGAGAGAGCGAAAAAAAAGGAAGAGGGGAAATTATCGACACTTTACGAGCCGCGGCGGAAGAGTGGTCGGTAACGATCAATTGCGCAATCGTCTTTTCGCCAATGAACCGAGACCAATTCTGCCGCTCGCGGCCTCCGATTGCACACAGCTTCGCCCTCTCGCGCGCCTTTATGGACGTAATAGATATAATTAATTCTGGTTCTGGTTTCCATTACGCTCGTAGCGAATTTCACTTCGCGAGAGCGATTTCAATCGCGAGAAATCGCGCGTGCAGTCAATGCGGAAAACGCTGTTTAGCTGCGTATAAATTTTTGGCAGCCGGCCGTGTCGTTTCTTACAACGAGCGATGGGAGATCCCAGATAATAACAAAGTTATGAGACTCCATTAAGGGACGGTACAAACGCAGCCACTGTGCCTGATATAAACGATAATCCTCTCAAACCTTCCCCTGTCGGCTCATGATCGTCGCTGTCGACATCGTTGATTCATGGCGTACAAGAGAGAGAGAGAGAGAGAG